GAAAACAAAGAACTTTTAGAATGAATGCAACTTATATAATGTAGAGAATACACTATGTTATTTTCTTGTAAGAATTTTTTTAATTCAAGAATTTTGAATCAAAGACAAAGAATTACAGGAAAATATTACAATACTGAGGACAGAAAAAAGGAACTAATATATGCTAAGTACCTGTGCTTGTGCTTTACATATGTTGTTATTTTAAGCTTCACTGGGACCCTAATAAGGTAGGTAGGGCCAATCATATTTTTCAAATGAGGAAATAGGCTCAATATGAGCCAAGTAGTATCCTAATAATCATTTTCTCATCTCACTCTAATATATTTACATAATAGAGATGGTCAGAAGTGACACAGAAAAAGTTAACTTTATTTTAAAATGTAATTAAATTTTAAATGTAATTAAAAATTTTTAAATTATTTTATTGTTCAATTACAGTTGTCTGCATTTCCCCCCCACCACTCCCTACCACCCCAGACAAACCCACCTCCGTCCCTTGCTTCCACCCTCCCGCTTGGTTTTGTCCATGTGTCCTTTATGGTAGTTCCTGCAAACCTTTCCCCCATTGTCCCCTCCCCACTCCCCTCTGGTTATTGTTAGATTGTTCTTAGTTTCAATGTCTCTGGTTGTATTTTGTTTGCTTTTTTCTTTTGCTGATTATGTTCCAGTTAAAGGTGAGATCATATGGTATTTGTTCCTCACTGCTTGGCTTATTTCACTTAGAATAATGCTCTCCAGTTCTATCCATGCTTTGTATTAAAATTTAATACAAACACTGGAAATGTATGTTATCTAAGAAAGCTTTTTGGCATTTGCATTTAGTTAAAAAATTAATCTTTCAAAAGTTAACTATATATCTTATTACCCAAAGAGAAAGCCTGTCTCATAGTGTCTTTGACAATTAAAAATAGTTATATATATATTTATGTGTGTGTATATATATAAATATATATATCCCTTCACATTCTTTCATCTAGTCCCCTATCCTCCCTCCCCTGCAGCTGTCAGTCTGTTCCATGTTATTTGTGCCTCTGTTTCTCTTGTGTTCATCAGTTTATTTTGTTCATTACATTCCCTATATAAGTGAGATCATATGGTATTCGTCTTTCTCTGACTGCCTTATTTCACTTAGCAAAATACTATTGAGGTCCATCCATGTGATTGTAAAAGGTAAGATTTTCTTCTTTTTATGGCCAAGTACCATTCCATTGTGTAAATGTACCACAGCTTTTTAATCTACTCATCTATCGATGGGCACTTGAGCTGTTTCCAAATCTTACCATCATACTTTCATTTTTAGTTCTCTCCAACTGTGTCCTGAATAATTTACTTATTCTGTCAGGTTGTTTTTCTATTACACGAAGTCCGTAGGAGCAATGAAACACCAATTCAAAATAACCTGTGAACCTCAATGTTCATAGCAGCACAATTTACAATAGCCAAGTGCTGGAAGCAACCTGAGTGCCCATCAGTAAATGATTAGATTAAAAAACTATGGTACATCTACACAGTGGAATTCTGTGCAGCAGAAAGAAAGAAGGAGCTCCTACCTTTTGCAACAACATAGATGGAACTGGAGAGCATTATGCTAAATAAGTCAGGTGGTGAAAGACAAATACCATATGATCTCACCTATAAGTAGAACCTAAGCAAGTAAAATATAACCAGAGACATTTAAATTAAAAAAAAAAACAGTGAAAGGACAGCAAACTCACAGTTATTAACAACCACACCCAAAACAAAAGCAAACTAAGAGGACAGCTAGATCAGGAGCAGAACCATAGAAATGAAGATCACATGGAGGGTTAGCAACAGGGGAGTGGGAGGAGGAGAAGTAGGGAGAAGGTACAGAGAATAAGTAGCGTAGATGGTAGGTAGAAAATAGATAGGGGGGAGGGCAAGAATAGTAGGGGAGATATAGAATCTAAAGAACTTGAGACACATGGTCATAAACTAAAGAGGGATACGATGGGGGAGGGGTGTGCAGGGTGGAGGGGAATGAAGGGGGGAACAGAACAACTGTAATGGCATAATCAATAAAGTATATTAAAAATTATAAGAAAAAAATAAATAAATAAACTTACAGTAACCAGAGGAGTGTGAAAAAGTAGATAATGAGGGAAAGAAAGGGAAGGGTCATCAAGGAACATGTATAAAGGACCCATGGAAAAAGCCAAAGAAAGGAATTTTTGAGGGTGGGAGGTGGGGGTGGGGGGAGTGGTAGGGGGAAAACGGAGATGACTGTACTTGAACAACAATTAAAGAGAGAAAAAATAATACTACTGTTATCAGGTCTGCAGACTCGGTCTCAGATGGGTTTTATTTTCCCTTGTATGTTTTCTTGATTTTTAAAGACAGTTTGTCTTTAGAGGTGCTTGTTTATTTTCCTGAGAGAATCCCATGGGAGTGTGTTGGGTCACGTTCTGTAGAACCAGACACTTGAGATGAGGTTTCAGTGGTGGTGCTTATCAAGGAAGTGTTCCAGGAACACTGACAAATGGGGGTGGGGGGAGGACAGAGAAGAGGAGAAATCCCAACATGCCTATGATTTCAGACCAAGTCCCACGAAAAATTATCTCAGGCTGATGCTGCAGAGGACTCTGGGGTTTCCAAGTTATGCCACAGAGTTGTAACTGAAGCTAGAAAACTATGAAAATTGTGCAGGCAGGGGATGTGTTTTAGAGGGCAGTGTTTTGAAAAAGGAGGCCCAGTTGGTGCTGGATAGGAAAGCACACCAAAGAAGGGACCTGAACCCCCGCCCCATCCCACCCCAAGAAAGAATGAAAATAGATCCGGAGATCTGGGTGAAGCACAGACTCTGACATCTGAGGACGATTATTTATGTTTGGTTCTAAATTTGGAGATTTTCTGACACTATATGGGTTTCCATTCTGAAAAGTAGCAGGCCAAAGGAGGTAACATCTCATTTAAAAATTGTTTTCACCCAAAATGCAAGCCACAAGGAGCTCGCATGTCAGCTCCCTGGGCTGCTGAGCCAGTTTTTCCATAGTTCCTCTTTACATGGTGGGAATAACTCCTCTACAAATGGCCTTTAAACAAGGTTTCCTTTCAAACCCCTAATCTCTTCTGTGTAAGAATTAAAATCCTGTCTAGGCATTAGCTGATTGAATTATCTCCCAAAGCCTGTTCTACAGCTGCACAGGCCTGCATGTGAGTCTGGTTGAAGACTTTGGGCTGTGTCCTCAAAAGGGCTCTTTTCCTCCTGCTTTGGTTTTCTGCTTACATAATCCTTCAACCATGGATCTGCCATCTCTTCTCTCTTTCAGATGAGTTCTGGGTGAGAAGAATTTCAAATCTGAACTGAAAGTAAGATTCTTGCCCTTCCAGTCTCTGTCTGGACACCAGTAGTCTTTGAGTGAACCCTGAATTGTCCCTTTAGATGAGTGGCGGAGAAAAGTGGGAGGGAGGGCACAGAGAAAGCTGTGACATCAAAGAGTTCCAGAAACTAAAGTGTGGAAAAGTTGATATCCTCAAGAGTGGTAAACAGGAAGAACATGCCACCATGTAACCAGAAGGCATGATGAGTGTGTTTGTGTGCTCTTTGGCCTACATATGTATTTGATTTCTGTAGCATGAACAGACTTGGTAGGAAATCCTCTCTTTTATACTCTTTTCTTAGAAAATAGTATGAGATTCCTGCCATAGCCGGAGGAACAACTGAAATGCAGCCTTTCCCATTGCTCTTCCAGCCCCAAACAGAAAAATCCCCATGTGCTGAGTGTATGATGGGAACCGAGACTAGAGTCTGGAGTTATGGTGTTTTTCTTTAGTACTTTCTGAAAAGTACTGACATAATACTGCCCCTCCTAATATGCCGTATAAGGTAACAGCCCACATGAAGCTGTAAAAGAAGCATTGAAGCTTCCAGCAAAGAAAGTTTTTGGCAAACGCTTCATGTACAAACTGTAGGGCTGATACTGAACGCTTTAAGCTATAGTTCCAAAGTATCAAGCATTATTTTGACTTTGTCAAATGCAAGTATGTGTACTAAAAACATAGGATGATATTAATGTAACATGTGGAAAAGTCAAATAGAACATTTGAGATTGTTTATGAGGATTGTTGTGTGCCGACTCTGCTTGTAAAAATTGTGGTCACGTGGGGCACGCCATTCTGTCAGGAACAGTTTGAACTCTTTTATAAAACTCTTTAGATAGAAAAAGATGTTGTTAAGAATAGATCTAGTCACACTGTTAACGTGGGTGATTGTTGTATTCAGGTTCTTACAGAGATTATACTCTGAAAGCTATCAACTACGCAGATTCCAATATTAGTTTTCCCTTCCCCAGGAATTGAAGTAAACCTTTAAGGAAATGTAGCAAGTATCTCAGCTTCCTTCCAAAGATAGAAGAATTTCTGCCTAAGTCTGGAAGACTGAGAGTTTTCCTACAAATTTCTCCTAAGCTAAGAGGAGGTAGAAGTACAGAAGTTTGGTCAAGTCCAACATGTCCTCATTAGAAGGGAGTGTATTTGCATTTGCCATTTCGATTATCAATCCACCCGGCTGCCCACAGCCTGAGAGTTAAAGACCTTAAATGAAAAATAAGGAAGATCTCAAGAGACCCCAAGTCCTCCTGGAAGTACTGGCTATGGTGACAAAAGAAGAGAATCTTAGCAATGTTGACAACAGCTGCATTGGTCATGAGGGTAATGATAAAGTACTGACTCCAGTGCCTTCTATTCTCTGCATGTAAAACATCAGAACACCTGACTAAAGATGAGAATCCTCGGTCTTGGGCTACTTGGCATCATCAGGGGTCCTGCCTCTGGGCAGTGGTACCACCAATGGGGAACAACAGCACAACTACCACTCTGAACTTGGGTGCTTTTGGACTCATTTTCTCAGTGATCTGTATTAGGAGATACGAAAAATGGCAGGTTACTCCATAATAGTCAGCAGAATGCTATTAGAACTTGTGTGAGAGACTGGATATTCTTAAATTTATTTGGGAAGATCAGGAGTTATATTTGTTTTTCTTTTTTTAATGGAACACCTCATAAATTTTTGTGTTATCCTTGCACAGGGGCCATGCTCATCTTCTTTGTATCGTTCCAATTTTAGTGCGTGTGCTGCCGAAGCGAGCCCTGCGGGTTATGTATTTAGAGGAGTAAGCCAACAACTTGTCTGTCACAAACACGTACTTCAAACAACTGGACAGATGATCGTGTACATGGTCATAACCAGATGACCAATACAGAAATCAAATAGACTGTGTAATTGGAAGCAGGGTATGGAGAAGCTGTATTCTCTCTGCCAAAACAAGACCAGGAGCAGATTGTGGTACTGATCACATACTGCTAATATCAAACATTAGAGTCAAGCTGAAGAGCGCTAAAAGAATTATAGTGCCAAAATATAACATAATAGCATTCCTAATGGATTTAAATTCCACATAAAACAGATTTGCACTGTTAAATGTAATCGACCGAGAACCAGAAAAACTGTGGACTGAAGCTGCAAATGTTATTAGAGATGAATGCAAAAAGGCAGTGCTGGATGTAAAAAAAGGGAAGGAAAGTTAATGGATGACAAAAGAAACACTGAAAATTGTTAAAGACCCATGAGAGGCAAAAGTAGAGGTTATGATCCTGAACATAGTTTTTCAATGATTATCACATAGAAACAAAGAGAACTATTACAACGGTCAATGCAAGGAGATAGAAAACAACAAAAAAGGGAAAACAAGAGGTCTCTACAAGAAGATTCAAGAAATAAAAGGGAAATTCAAACCCGGACTAGGAATGCTGAACAACCCCCAAGAAAACATGTTATCTGAACAGGAGAAAATAAAAAGAAAGTATAAACAATATACTGAAAATCTATACTGGAGAAACAAAAGAATGACAGATACCTTTGAAGTTTTCCATGAGGAGGAATGTATAATTCTAGGAAGTGAAGTGGAAGCTTGTCTAAAATTACTGGAAAGAAATAAATCACCAGGGGTAGATGGGTTATGAATAGAATTATTTCGAGCCACAGAGACAGAATCTGATTCTAACAAGAATATGTCAACAAACTTGGAAAACAAAACAATGGTCTACACAGACAGAAAAAGTTCAATATACATCAAAATCTTCGAGAAAGAAGATGCTGAGGAGTGTGCACAGTAATTATAAGACTGTTGCTCTCATTTCCCATGCAATTAAGTGGGGTTCAAGGTGATGCAACAAAGGCTTCTATCTGATACGAAGCAAGAAATGCTGGATGTTCAAGTTAGATTCCAAGAGGGAAAAAAACATGGATGCATGCCATTGCTGTGCAAAACAATTAAACATCCTGCTGGCATTTTCCAAAGAGAGATCTCATTTCATGCTTACTATGCACTACATGGATTTAATTGTACTTATTTCTTTTTAAATTTCCTTGTATAAGAAGCATTTACCACTAAAACGTGTAAAATGCATTTTCTTCTTCTCCTTCTTCCTACATAACTGAAATTTCCTTTACTGTAAAGCTTTCTTGCACACATTTTCTTTTTTCTTTTGGAATTACTACTTTTAACCATATCTCATCTTCTGCCTCTCTTGAAATAAATCTTTTTTTCTTAAATTTGTATATATTTTCCTATCCTTTAACTAAATGTTATTGTTATTATTTTTGCTTTCCAATGAGGGGAGGTATTTGCTCTTGATCTTTACATTAAAAGGTCAGTTTTCAGATGTGAAGGATCTCTATCGTGTTATTTACTGTATTTCAAAAGAGAAGTTTCACTTAACTTCCTCTTTGTCTTTTAAAATAACTACTTGAAATATTTTCCCTGGTGTTTTTCCATAGACACAAAAAATTGGGACAGGGAGAGAAAAAAGGAGTATTACAGAAAATGTTTCAAGTGAAGTTAGCATTTTTAAAATGGTTTTTGTTAGCCTTGACAAGTTTAAACCCATGAAGTCATCAATAGATACTAAACACAGAAAGGCCCCAAATGAATTGAACCTGTGATATTTTATGTATAAAATATTACATCTTGAGAAACAATCTCTTCAAGGTAATAAGTACTTATAATAAATAAACACCAAATAACACTCATGTCTTACAATTTTATGGTTTGATAGGGGTTTTCACTTCATCTTATTTTAATCTTGTGCAAAAATACCCAGAAGGCTGAGTCATTCCTTTGTACTCTTCAGAGTCTTCTTTGTATAAACTAAGAAGACTGAAAAACTATGTAATAAGAGTGTTAAAGTGAAAGTCTTGCTTGACACCTTAAGAGCCCAGAGATTCCAGACACACAGCTTCTGGGGAGGTGACAGGGTGCCGAGCAACCCCAACACACAGCTGAATGAGCACAACTAGAACATAAATGAGACATAAGCCTTCGAGGTCCCTGACAGAGTATCTAGACTTACCTCCATTCATATACTTTAAAAAACCAGCAAAATGTACAAGAGAAACATCATAATGCCAAACGTTATATTGATGGTAGCTTGCATAATATGAGACCTAAAGACATCTCTACCACATAAATCAGTAAGTCTATTCCTTAGTGATGTATTATTGGAAAATAATTCAATGCAAGAAAGTTAGATGAGAACAAAAGATCTCTATATAGGCTTATACATTTTTGAAAAAGGAAGAAACAGCCTAAGTTTTCACCTCCTCATGGGTTTCCTACTGATGTTAGACTAAAATTAAAGATCTTCATTGTGACCTCCTAAGGCGTTGCGTACTCTGCTTCATCTTGCCTCGCTCTTCTTTGAATTCACTGTACTTTAGCCAGTGGGCTTCTATTGGTGCCTCAAAGAGGTGCATCCCTTTCTCCTGTGAGGCCTGTGCCCATGTTCTCTTCACTTAGAACACGATGGCCTTCCCTAACCTCTCTTACCTTTCAGCTGGCTTACCCTTAGCCTCCAAGCTGCAGCTTAACTGTCATGTCCGTAGGAAAACTTCTGATAGGCATGGTGTTGCAGACCTACTTTCCCCTTGTAATTATCATAATGTTATTTGAACAAATGTTTCTTATTACCTATTCAATAGTTTTCTCTCTTGCTAAATTTAGAGTTCAAGAAAGACAGAAGATATGTCTGCCTTGTTCAATGTTATTTTCTCCTGCTACACGTGAGACACTTGGTAGACAGTCAGTAAATGCCTGTTTAAAATAATAAATCAGTCCCAGTCTTAATGTTCTTTGTTTCAAGAAACAAATGCTCTGTGAGGCTGGTAGAACCAAGATCATCAACTTGTTCACTTTTAGGACTTTTCTCCTCAGGACCTAAGGAATTGCATTTTCTTTGGCTTAGAAAGACATCTAGATATCTTTTTGCCCCAAACAAATCATAGAAAAAAAAGAAATGCACTCTTATAAATGGTTCACATTTGCAGAAGAATAAAAAATTGTTATTATGTGATGGATCCAATGTAATCTTAGAGCTTATCTAAGTTTATTAAATGACCTCAGGATCTGTTTCCCAGATTAGCCTCTGTGATCTGCTGTTCCAGAAACAACATCATGTTCTTTTTAAAAAAAATTTGACTCTAACCTTATGTCCCTTTATAGTATTTCCTAAGGAAGTTCATCTGTATTTACATCCACAATAGGAACTTTTGAATACTGCATATTAAATGCATATGTCTGAGTCTATATTTCCAGATTTGTGAAATTCATAGTAATAGAAATATAGGTTTTATTTATGCTCTTTGTTTTATATAATCAGTTTGAAAATCCTTAATTCCTACAAAAAATCTTTAGAGAAACTACTCTCTGGTTTCTATTGCTAGGCTCACGTTAACTATAGTATGGTTCAGAATGAAGTTCATTGCTTTAACTGCAGAATACCTGACCCAAAATGCTACAGGGGTCACATCTGCAAAGTGTTGTCCTGATAGGTCTCAAAGAATGCAGATCATTGCTCCTAACCTCTGCATTTCTCTTTACTTGAATATCTGTTCTCATTTTAAAAAGACTTAAGGGCAGGAGAATATCAGTTTCTCCATGAAGGTTGTTTTGGGTTAGTGGCAGTAAAAGCATGATTTAAGAGATGACAGAAGACTACTTGCTTGATTGACTCCACTGGCCTTTTTTTTCATTTGTCCTTTAGGCAAACTGTGCTTTGCACTTGAAGGGAGAAGAAAAGGAGGAGTGGCTACTATGACTATTGCCTTCTGAGCGCTTTTGATTTGGGGAGGAGTGTGCTGGCTGGAACTGGAGTCTATCCTATGTCAGGGAAACACTGTGAAAGTCATGATGAAGGATTGTTACAACTACAGTTACAGAAAGGGCCTGCAGCCATCGACTTAGTATCAGTTATGTGGAAGCTAGATCCACAGTTAGGTGATTCGCAAAATAAGCTGTTAGGGAAGAGGACAGGACAGGATTCAGAGAGGGAAAAGCATAAAATATATTATTTGGGCAGCCGGATGAACAAAGGCAAAGATGTTATGGTGGTTAGAGCAGGGGCTGTACTGGAGTTGTAAGTAGAAGAGTTTGGTGGGAATATAAGGGGTTAGTAAGAATGAAACAGGCTTTGTGAGGGCCTTAAATGACATTGTGAGTCATGAAAGTTGTGTGAATGTGGTATTGCTGTGATTAAAGATGTATTGTAAGAAGATAAATATAATATGTATGTGTAAAATGACTTAGGGAGAAAGAGACCAATTAAGAGGTTGATATAATAACTAATGATATCCTAGTATAGAAGGGAGGCAGAGAGAGATGAAAGAGACAGATGGAAGTCATTGCTAAACATAACACAAATTAATTAATAGCCATATGAGGTTAGAGAGGGAAGAACAAGAGAAATTGAACAATGAGTTCAAGGTCCCTCCAAGGCTTCAAATGTGACTTACCAGTCAAATTAAACAGAGAATGAAGAGTTGAGGCTACTTTAGGAGTGGGGCAAAGGACAGAGAGAAAGAACGGAATAGTTTAAGTTTTTTATCATGCTGACTGCCAGCACTCTAATTAGTACTTAGATTTTGCTGAAGTCCTAAAACTATAGAGAATTTTTTCCTGATCAATATCAATATTCTGGGATTTCCCTAATGTCCTCCAAAATCATGTCTAACCCTATTGCAATCATGAAGTAAATATGTTGCAATTGCTGGTTTACTTCCATCCCCCCTGCAGTGTTCTCGAGGGCAATGGGAAA